CGTGTAGCTTTGCGCGAAATTCAAAAACAAACAATTTATCTAGTCCCTTAAGGATTTTCAAAGATTAAAAGAGTGTATATTTATAGTACTTCCGCCAGCCTATTTTCGCTATGTACATTGTTAACAAGTATAATTAATTATAAGCATGCTTCTCCAACTTGTAAAAGGCATTCATGTCGTAACAACTATTGTTGTAACAAATGGCTTATATAAATAGTGTTCCGACAACTATTGTGTGTATTGTTTTCTAGCCAGTTTGATGAGTTCTGGGTTGAGCGAAATGCTTCGTGGTAATAAATATAGTGAACACAATGTACTTGAAATATTATTATTATACACTCTTCTAATTCATAAAAATCACTAAGGGACTAGATAAAGAATGTGGTGTTTAAAAATATAAGAGGCTCAATATTAATATCTGATGACAAGTGTAATTAACTCTATCTCTGTTTCTTTTTAATAGAGTTTAATTTATTCAGGCCATACTTACAAATTCTCAGAAACTTTCTGCTAATGTGGTTTTAGTAGCTAAGATGTTTTACCTGTAAATGTTCAATAAAAAGTTTATCTCAAACAGGATATAGATATGCATTACATGAATTTTAAAGTAACAGATTCCAATAGGTCTAATATCCGTGATAAAATTACTTCATACTCCAGCTCATTTCCTCAAGTCACACATCCAGGTAATCAAATAATGTCATATTGAAAAAGCTTATTGTTAGAAGTAGTATTCACATGATTCACCTGGGATACCAAATTATGTAAGTTTAATGTATGAGTTTTGGAATCCTTATATAACTAATATTTGATATTTTTTTACTCATAGAAAATGACATATCTCAGATTCGAGTAGAAGATATAGTATTACATATTCAGTTGTTAAGCCTATTAAAAACGCTTAAAAGATACGCGAGCAACAACGCATTCTCTATATGTTAAGACCCCTCCCCAATGAAGTAGCAATAGGTGGAAGAGCTTCCCAAGGGACCATGTTGACCAGATAATTGGTATTTGAAAATTTTAATATTGGAATTGAGGAGAAAACATTCTGAAACACGGAAACAGTTGGAATGAGGGGGAAAATGTTTTTGCCTCAGGACCGTTTGACACCTAGTTATGCCACTACCTCTCTCATTAACACAATAAAAAGTTTTTATTCCTTGTTGTGTTTATTTAACTCACAAACTTTTGTGTTTCGTTCTATGGGCTAACTTAGGATGTCATTCGAAGTTTTAGAGAAATGGTTGCAAAAGTGTTATGAGTATCGGTTAATACAACCGTGTAGATTCTGTAGAACACCAAATATTGCAAGACAATGAGGCTTTTTATGCTTGATGAAAACAATTAAAATCACACTTTACGTTTTTTTATTGATATTTCACTTAACTATTCCAGCTAAAAGTATTTTTGAAATATTATTTGTAAGGAGTATGAGAATAAACATCTTTCAAACGTCATTTTAACCATTTCTGGTAGGCCAAAAAGAAAACCTTCTGCTTCACGGGTTTAAATGTTATTTGAAAGTTCTGGTTCGATTGAACGAAATGTCTCATGTGATAAACATTACGTTAGACTGAAGACGTTATTTATCATGGATATAAGGCCTATTCGTTTCCAAAGTTACGTCAGCTGTCAGTGTTCCAAACATAACTTGAAAACTCTTGTACTGCACATATAGTGAATACCACTTCACATAAACATTTGACTCTCAGCTTGCAGCAGAGGTGACGAGTTTGGTATTGGGCCGAAGGCCTCGTGGGTAGTAACTTGTTGAAAACAAAATATATGTTTGAAATGATATTTTACAGAGCCTGAATTTGAAATCCCTAATCAACACATTAAAAGGAATGTGAAAAAAATCAACATCTGCAGCCTAAAGCGATTTTTATAACAAAATGTTAGGCCTATTGGTTTCCAACGCTTTGCCATATTTCGGCATTCAAATAATTTTTAATAACATAATCTTTTGAAAATTTAGTGATGAAAAATAAGACAGTTGCTCAATTGTGACGAAAAACTTCTCAATTGTAAAACAAATATGAAGAGAAAACTCTTTATATTTATGTGCTAACATACAAATATAACTGATACTTGAAACCGTCGGTACTTGGTAAAACTCCATTATTAGAAAATTGAGAAAACAACAACAAGACAATTGTGTGTTTCACAAATATATCATTTATTCACAAGACCATGGTTTCCCCAGTAAAATTTACAGTATGTTATAGACTAGCGAGTGGCCATCTAAATGCAGATTAAGTTATTAAGACGATGCCTTTACTGGCAAAACCATGGTCGTGAATAAATCATGTATTTGTCAAACATACAGTTGTCTTATTTTCCCTCAGTTTTGTTAACGCACATATTTATCACCAACGTTTTGGGCCTACATCATTATCTAAATGCCCTGGATCTTCAAATTGGAGTTGTAATTTCATAATATCTTGAATCAACATTAACCATCTGAAAGATATTATTGGACCTACTTTAATTATTTAGATTCTGTAAATTATTCAATCAGTAAAAGCCATTTTAAATTATTTGTGTTTCTGATTTTATGATGTGAGGTGTTATATATTTACAGATTTTATTGATCTAAGATATATAATTAATGTTAATACATTTCCCCAGCTTAATGATCACTCATATTTCTGTTTGTTATTTGGTATTCATTATAATTATAAAATGTTTACGCGTTGTTTAATAATTTATAATTTCACACAGATCTGACTACTGTAAACGATATCTAGTTATATAAACAATGTAGATCTTACACCTGAAGTATATAATATTTGAAAGGTATTTTTATTGAGGTATATAAGCAATGTAAATCACGTCTGAGATTTATAATTACTGTAGATTTTCTTTATGTGAGGTTTACTGCAATTAAAATCTGATTTGAGATGTATAATAACTTGTAAGTTTATTTTTACCTGTGGTCTAGAGTCACTGTAATCTGTGTACATAATGTCTAATCCAGGTATGGATCGACGCTGCAACTCAGATTTTCTTTTCTTATGGCCTCGGCCTTGGATCTCTGATCGCTCTGGGAAGCTATAATAAGTACAACAACAATGTTTACAGGTAAACTTTTTGAAATTACTTTTGTTTATATAATTGAAAGAGTAACGTATGTGCGTACGTGTGTGCGTGGGTAGTTTTTAAACTGCATCAAACTAACAACAATTAAATTAGAAGTAAGGAAGTACTGACGACGTCACCATACGTGTATGGGAAGCTTTTTAAACTTTATTAAACTACACAAAAATTAAATTAGAAGTAAGGAAGTACTGACGACGTCACCATACGTGTATGGGAAGCTTTTTAAACTTTATTAAACTACACAAAAATTAAATTAATAGTAGGGAAGTACTGACGACGTCACCATACATGTGTGGAAAGCTTTTTAAACTTTATTAAACTACACAAAAATGAAATTAGAAATAGGGAAGTACTGACAACGTCATCATATGCATGAAGGAGATATAGTTGTAGATAGTAATAGGCATTGCAAATGATACGGTATTTGAGAAATGGATGTTTCATCCCTTAGAACCCCATCTCAGACGGCAGTGTTTATGAGTTAAGGTTTTCTGAGTGAATTTGTTCATTTGTTTATAGACACTTAGAGTACGGTCACCGTCATCATGTTGAGTAAGGACATGGGAGCAATACCACTAACATTTGATACTTGGCCCTGATACCCAGATTTTGAAAGAGTTGATAGAATCTGGTGTCTCTTACTAGATCAGACCATTCTGCTCAAAGTGTTTGGTAGGTATACCGTGTCGTAGGTATGCCCACTTAAGTTTAACCTCACAGTAATTGAGACGTCTCACACAGCCACCAGATTCGTTCAGAACTCTACATACCTAACGAATGAATAGTCTGGGCAGGTCACTTAACCATTTTAATCACCTTAAATACACAACATTTCCTTTACTTTTTATAAACTTTGGTTATTCAAATACAAAATACTTCAACCAAGGAAATGTTTCGTACACGAGTTTTTCCCCCAAGTATGCCATTGTTAATAAATGTATACTCAATATATAATGCAGTTTAAACTACCGTATTATATTATTTAATTTCAGGTTATTATAGTAAATTGGGTCTAAACAGTTTTGGATATCGTTTTGTAACTGAAAGCGGTATTAGGATATTAGTGGTTTGAATTTCGCGCAAAGCTACATTCGCCGTCCCTAATTTAGTAGTTAAGGACTAGAGGGGAGGCAGCTATTCAACACCACCCAGCGCCAGCTCTTGGACTACTCTTTTACCAATGAATAGTGAGAATGACCATCACATTATAATGCTCCCACGGCTGAAAGGGGAGGATTCGAACCAGCGATCCTCAGATTGCGAGTCGAGAGTCCTAACCACCTGGCCATGCCGGGCCAAGATATTAGTGAAGAATAAGTTCAATATAATGTACATTCGCAAGACCAATGCTTCAATAAGACTCCCAAAATGTATATTTGGCGTTGATAAAAACTCTTTTTAAATCTAGGCCTACTTGTGCTGAGAGACATTTTATTTTGACCTTGACTTGCACTATAAGAATAGAATGGTTTGAAATATGCCCATGACATAAAGGGCACTCTGCTGTCTTAGTAGAAACAAAAATAAATGTTCTTTAGCTATTTCTTATGATTTTCGTTGGTGGAGGTCCGATTAATCGTACTTAAGTTTGTCAACACTGAACAGTCTATGACAATGAAAGTGGTTACAATGATGTATGAAAAAAGGTTGAGTGAAAGTGTGAAAATTAATAGTGAGGATTTCTTTAATTACATTAATGGTAAACAAAATGTTAGGATTGGGGTAGGACCTTTGAGAGATGATAAAGGAAGGCTTGTAACTGATAATTACTAAGATGGCGAGGTTATTCAATTTGCTTTTACTTCAGTTTTTACTATTGAAGATTTAAGCAGTATGTCACATCTTGAACAGTTGGTAGATGGAAACAAGGTCGGACAATATGAGCACATTAATCTGAGTTTGTCTCCTGGGTCAGATAATATTTCTCCAAGGATTTTGAAGGAGGTTAAGGATTAGGTATGTGAGCCACTTGCTACTATTTTTTGTAAGTCATTGAATAGTGGGCAGGCACCAGAGGATTGGAAGTTAGCTAATGTCACTCCTCTTTTCAAGAAAGGTGATAAAAATTGTCCTAGTAATTATAGGCCCATTAGTCTTACATCAGTTGTGGGAAAAGTTTTGGAAAGTCTGATAAAAGATGCTTTGTAAAATCATTTAACAAAGTTCAGAATTCTATTAGATAGTCAACATGGTTTCTCAAAAGAGAAAATCTTGCTTTACAAATATTTTGACATGCTTTGAAAAGGTTACTGCTTGTGTAGATGAGGGTAACGGTGTAGATTTGGTGTATCTGGATTTTCAGAGAGCATTTGACGAGGTGCCTCATAAAAAGGCTTGTAAAAAAGAACATTTTTAGGTGTGGAGATAAGTTAGCTAATTGGATAGAAGAGCGGATGGATTGAAGAAAGCAGAGGGCTGTTATAAATAGAGTTCAGTGAAACTGGATTAATGTCAGAAGTAGGGTACTTCAGGGCTTAGTCTGAGGACCTTTGGTGTTTTTTGATTTACATAAATGACATAGTTGAAGGAATGGCCAAATAGTTACTTATATTTGCGGATGATATTAAAGTCTTGGGTGTTGCTAACTGTGAATGGGATGCTGCTGCTTTACAAAAAGGATTTAGATCATTTAGTGAGTTGGGCAAATAAATGACAGATGAATTTTTATTATAATAAA